CCTTTTAACCCCCCCCCACCTAAAAAAATAAATAAAATAAACAAAAATTAAATAACAGAGAAAGTAACGCACTCCAAATAATAAGAAAAATGAAACATTTACAAAGATCGGAGAAATTAAAAAAAAAAAAAAATCGATTCATTCATATAGCTTAATTGTTATCATGTTCACTTTTTAGAAATTCTTTCGTTATCAAGCCCAGCGGTTTTATATGCCCATTTTATTTGTCTTAACTTAATCATCTCAATTATATTAACCGGGTACAGTTAACACAATTCAGCGTTGTGTAACCGTCTCAATTTTCCGGTTGACTCATCCTTCTTCGATCTGAATATTCCGTGTAACACTTTATTTACAAAAACCTTAAAACGTTGCTCATCCCTTATGTAAGATTCCACGTTTTGTATCTATAAAGAACCATAGGGATGATAATGGTTTTGTAAATTTTGATTTTTAAGTTTGGCACAACAGTACTGAGCTAAGTCGTTTCCAACTGAAAAATAGCAAGCATTTCCCGCATTTAACTTAGCCTTAACTCTCTCTTCAATTTCATTTCTCTTGTTCTAGTAGACTGTAAATACTTCAACTTTTCTACAAACGTATTTCCTTCAGTATCTATAACACCGAAATTGTCGCCATGGTGAAATTGTTGCTAACCAAATAAAACGAAAAATAGTTATGTTATTTTAATCATTTTTATAAAATCTAAGAACCAACGCGAACACTTAGGTGTATACCGCCAGAAGGCCGAACCTCAACGAAACCATTGGCGATCGCCAATCCTGATTAAAAATCAATTAAATAAGCCATTTGCGGCTTTTCGTCCGAGAATTGCTTAAAGTGGACGACCGTTCGCACAAAACTGTTCGTTCACGAAGGTGTTTTTAAAAAATAGCAATTTACAGCCCATTTTATTTTTAACTAATCCAATGTTGGTGACACTTGATGAACTAGATAGTCTTATTAATAATAATATTAAATATATTTTAAATTAATAGTGTTAATTACCTGATTTACTTTACAGATAATGATTGAATTTGAACCTCATGAATTGAGAGCCTTTTATCGGACCCGAAGGCGGATATTCGGCAAAGCCACTGGATTGCCAGGGGTAAGTTTATTTTTATATTTATTTATAACAAAAGGTTCCATTATTAAACAAACTGATTATAGCTTTTCAACTAGGCATGTATTAAAAGCATTATAATGAAACTTTTGGTAATACAATTTAAATTATAATTCTAAGCTTAGCATACTTCTAACAAATTTTTGGAGGAGAGGGGGGGAAGAGAGGAGTGAGAAAAGCTTCGAATTTTCATTTGAACATTTCATCCTTAAAAAGATGTTAAGGCTAAAACATAATCGGAATATTTAATTTCACTTCAAAATAAGGGGGAGAAACAGCCTTCTTATTGGTATTGTACTATATTTAGATTTCCACTAAACTTATATTAACATTTTCACTTATATAAAATTGAGAACTGGATAGCTTAAAGAGCAATACACTGTGCTACTATGCTCCGGGTACCGAGTTGCGTATTTACAAACCCTACACCGATTCAGAAACCCTATCTGAACTCGTTTAGGATTTGAAGAAGCTCTGGGGTCTGGCCTATTACAAACCCTATTCCGATACTGACACATCAGCTCTGCCTGCCCGCAGGTGAACTTAAGTCGTTTAAAATTAATTTTATATATATATATATATATATATATATATATATATATATATATATGTATACTTACAACTTTTCTTTAATCGACCTTTGAGTATTAAATTTAAACATAAATATTTAATTGAGAATAAGGTCACTTATTAACTATTCAATAAACTACTAAATGTTCATTGATTCTGTGTTTATTCGACGTTTCGATCCCGGTTTTTTTTATACTACTGTCTTTACCGTAGCTTAATATATGTGCTGGTGGATGGTGCTGAAACTGTCGGTGTGTCCCTCGCCTGGGCTATCGAAGATATATTTTAATCCTATTGTTAACTTTAAAAAAAAAAACGACTCGAAACTTCGAATAAACACAGAAGCAATGAACATTTAGCCGTCGTACTTTAGAGAAAACCAATATTGAAAATTGGACATTTAAGCCCTGATAGAGAACATCAATGGGAGTAAAACCTATATTATATTAAAAACTGCTTAATAATACACTGATATACTGAGTTTAATCAAAATCGTTAGAGCCGTTTTTGATAAAAACGTAAAAATGTGTTAAATCGATTATGTAAAGTACCACTTCTGGTTTACCGATGTTGACGAAAATGTTGCTGTAACATCGAAATCTTGTAAAAACCTTAAAGATGAAATTTCACTTTCATACGACCTTTCATCTTTGTGCTAGACTGATAACATACAAACACACACACACTCGCGCGCACACATACACACACATACAGACTATTTTGCGGGACTTGATTATTTGGACTCCGGAGACCTTAAAACATGTATTTCCGTTGATAACTCAAACTTGAAAATTTTCATGATCTCAGTACTTACCCTTACTATATATTGCATACATAGGTAAGTGAAAGTTAAAATGGAAAAAGAACTGACAAATACACACAACAGTAAAAGAGTGATTTTTTTCTATCAGTAAATAGTGAAGTTTCCACTTTTTTTTTTTTATTTATTGTCCACTTGACTATTTAAAAAAAAAAAACTTCAAGATGGTTTATAAAAATATAAACAAGGGACACGAAAAACTATTTACTTTTAATGAAAATCAGAAATTTACAATTGTTGAACTAACTTATCTAGTAAAATGGTTAGTTACTCCACCACTTTTACCACATGCTCCCCTCCACTTCTCGTGATTGAACCTTTGATTTTGCTGAGTTTCGGAAATCCGCCAGACACGTCCATCAATGCTTCAATAATTACCTTACACGATCAATCAGAATGTCAATAGAGCCTCGGAATGGAATTCCAAATGACCGTGTAGGGTCCGCTTAACACAGTTCCTTCATAGTCTGTCGTGAAACATGAGGTCTGACGTTGTCGTGTATGAGTATAGCTTAGTTCCGATTAACCAATGCAGGTTGCTTTTGACCAGTTTTTGATGAACTGCAGAATTGATTTACAATATAAATTTTTACTTTATCGCTAAAAATAGTTTTAAATGGACAAGTGATACGCCAAACTACTTTGGTTCAATGTTCCAATGTTCCAATGTTTCAATGTTCCATAAACAGGATACTAACTATTTTAATATTATTTGTGTTAAACTCTTATAGGATTAATAACTACCATTGTAGTAATTATTTAAAACCAGATCAAATTTATCAATATAGAATATTTTATTGGATTTATCATATAATTTTAAGACGGGAGCATGTGGCCAAGCAATCTTAAACTATTCTCTATTTGTTATTTTATATTTGATAGATTAACTTTAATTTAAAATGTTATCAACTGAAATCATAGAATTTAAATTCAATCCCGTATTCGGTTGTACTCTGCCAAGATAGTTCTTAAGTCATCTGTGTGTTCCTGATTCCATAGCATATTTCAATTTTGAATTATAATTAAAATTTACGTACTGTTTTACAACATTATTTCGTAATATTTTCAGCAAAATACTTTTATTTCTATTAAATTTGTATAAATTATCAGTTAATAATAATTTGGTCTAGTTTATTTAGTGTAAAACTGGAAGAAAACAATTCTTAAATTCTTATTTTGTCCATCCTTTCAATGAAATTGTGTAGGTACAATTCTTGGAAGATGCTGTAAGTGCATGTATTTCGTATACAAGGAATAATAGGAAATTAATATTTTAAAAAATAAATAAAAATATTAAATGATAAATATTTATTTGTTAAAGATCTACATTTTATATATGATATTATAGCATTCATCACATGACGGAAAAACAATTGATAGGAAACAATTCTAAAACGCATTTCATATCTTATAACTTTAAATAAAATTAATGGAAGATCAGTTACATAGCAGAAACTATACACAGCAAATACAGGGGTTTAAAATATAAAAAAAACTATTACAGAATAGTGTAGAGTGGATTTCTGATATTAATATAAAACGAAAAAGAATTTGGTACTATGATTTTTTTTTTCAGTTTACAAGCCATTATACAGCATTCAAAACAATCTACACATCCTCTTTAAACTAAATGTGCTCGCCTACGTCGGATACTGAAAAATCTAAATTTTGTATACAGCTTTCAACTATTTCTGTAAACACCAAAAGCTTTGTAACGGGAAAAAGCTCACTGTACTATGAAAAACGTTCTATGTTTTATTGGCAGTAGGGGAAGCACCTCAAACCTGGATCCATAGGATCATTTGATCCCTACACTTTGTTTAAGTTGAGCCATCAACTTGATATTTCTTGCACAATCAATTAAAAAAAAATATATATAGACGCGAAAAAAATTTGAGAGTAAACCGTTTATATATACAAACCAGGATTCACCTGGACCCACCTTCACAATATCGAGTAACTATATACTAAAAATCGTTGTATTAAAAAAAAAATTGAGGTTCGAAAAACCACGCCAGCTAGAGAAAAGGATCAATGCTAGAAATACTTTTAGGATACGGCATCGACAGTGGTTTTTGAAAATCGGAGATTGAAGTTGATTCAAAGTACAGATGACTATCACTGATAGCCAACTTGGTACTTGATATTAAGACCATCACATTGCAGCTATATTCTAAAAAGAATACAATGTTAGGCATATCCAAGACAATTCTATGAATGAATGAAAACTAATCTGCCCGAGATTTTAGCTAACAGAATTGGAAGATAAGATGCAAAATTTTTAAAACCCGAAGTTCATACGAAAACCTTTCCGAATCTCTAGTAGATATAATTCCGTCCGGAATCTATGGTCTCTTGAATCCCAATATATTGACCTTTCTGATTCATCACCTAATACTCATTAACAGAGTAACATAAAATTAAAAATACATAAATATATACAATTTGGAACTATAAGGACTGGAACAGAGGCAAGATTGATGTTCACTGGAGGTTGTGGCCGATGGAGAAACCCAGGTGAAGTTGGCTCAAATCCGTGAAGGGGTAGAAGTGGTGGAGGAAGTGTGGTGGGATGGTCGGCCTCTCGTCCCCCAAGCTGCTTCCGCCACCGCCCGTCGTAACTGAAACAATATTTCTATCATTATTTTTTGAAAGTGTATCATTAAAACTTCTTATCTGTTATCTACAAAATCATGTTCCATAATTAAATAGAGATTGTAAATACAATTTGTATACTTCCAACTCTTTGAATGTTATTTTGTAACTGTCTGCTTAAATAAATAAAAGTTTTATATGCATATAGCTCTAGCCTAGGAAGAGGCTTAGGACTTAGCATCGCTGGCAGAGAACTAGCGATCGGCAATAGACGAGACAGTGGAACTAAAGGAGATAGCAGAAAAAAAGGGTTAAAGATGTCCTTTGAGAAAATAAAGTAAATGAAATTATAACTAAATATGGTGATATCCAAACTGTAAAACAACTAGGTGAACTTATGAAGTACAATGGGAGTGATTTACAATCGAAGAAGAATAGAGATGGAAGTTAGACAGGTTTAAATATATAGTTTAAAAAATATAGATAAAATAAAGATAGGATAAACAAACAACGATATTTAACAAAGTAATGGGACTAAAAAACATCAAAGGATATTACTTTGAACAGATAAACGAAGAAATGTAAGATTTGGGATAAAACAAGATTAATACCTAGATAGAGATAAATTCGGGGAAACTTTGAATAGGACAAAGGTTCCTAGAATAGAAAAGAGAAGAAATTAAGGAAGGAAATGGACTGAAGAACAGGAAAAGAAAATTGGTGAAAACATGAAGAAAGTTTGGGCTAAAAAGAAAGCCAAAGAAACAATGATATATGCGCGATCCTTAGCTGGCCTTCGCGAAAAAAATATACAACAAGTTAACTTGTTATAAGAAGATAAAACATGATAGGAACTTGTGAAGAATGTATCCTTTGGCGGTATTTCAACGATTAGATTAATTTAAGAGGTCCTTTGGCCATCTTATTTTCAGACGCCGTGGAGGGTTGTCGTGAATCGTGTTGGATGGAAGGTTATGAACCAGAGGGTTAGGGTGACCAACAAGTATGAAATTAAAATTGGAGTACAGGATGCGGACCAAATCTGTAACAAAGGGAATATTGAGGTCTTTATGGAGAATTTTATGTGTGACATAGCAGGAGCGTTAAGGATTCTACGGAGAATTTTGGATTGTAAGGAATTGGATTTTGTGGATTCCTAAAGATCACTTCCGTATGTATATACGGGCATTATGATGATGGTGTATATGAGTTTTTTTTCTTGAATATTGGAAGTTTAAAGCGTTTGTTGTAAGTGTTGTACCAATCGGTATCTACGAGTAGTCCCTTGTAGTTTGAGTCTTGTATGAGGATTCCTAGTAAGACGTTTATCAAGATGTATTCCTAAGTAACGGATTTTTTCGGCAGGGGTTAAAAGGAGTATTGTCAAAAAATACTACAGTCTTTCATTCTGTCCTACAGGACTGGATGTAGAAGGTTTTCAACGAATGATAAATGTGATCAGTTCGGATTTATTTGATTCTTTTATTTCGATACCATTCTTCAATGGTTAGAATGTGTGACAGTAGGGATTGGGAAGCAACGATTGGGTCATCTGTGAGTTAGGATGACACCTTTATCTTAAAGGTGTCTCTTATAGAATCAACACTGAGCTGGATTGTACTGTGCGTAACATGCCTGCGTAAGAAGACCTGAGAAACATATTCCTATACTTCAAGTGTCCTATCAACAAGTCTGCCCGGATTGGTTGTCTTCAAGGCTTGGAAAACAGAAAGTGATAAAAATAAACTAAGTGCTGTTTTGGTCTAACAATAATGTAATGTTAAAAAACCTTAGATTCATTAGCGAGGCGCTCAACAAAAGATCATTTAGTAATAGTATGAATAAAGAGCCTTTAACCGATTGTTGTTTTATTATGCATGATGTTTTATTAGCGGTAGCAATTATAGACGAATTCCTTTTTTGTTTCTGTATTAGAATACTATTTTATAAACTTATTATAATTTTCATTTTGTTCAGACTATAAATATTTTATTATTTATTTTTGTAGTGATGTTCTATTTTAAACTGTTCGTAGTTATATTTTAATATATAGTATGTGAGTAACGTCTATAATCAGTGGTGTATTAGTAATATGTAATGTGTAAAGTAATCAATCAGAATGCTGTAATAGTTTTACATAAAATAGAGATTTTTTTCTTTCCATCAGTCTATCCTTTTATTATTACAGTTAATATTCGATTCCAGGCCCATTTTCTGTAGTATTTCTAAAGGTTCTTATATAAAGTGTATTAAAAAAAAGTGAGTGCTATTCTAATGTGAAAATAATTAATAAACAAGAACCCAGAAGAAACTAATTCATTTATTAAAATTATGTGGAATTATTAATTATGGTGGAAAACGTTTCTAAAGTTAGCGATGAAATCCATAAATCGATTAAGTTCAGTAGCAATAGATAGCGAATTATACTCAGTTTAGAAACGACCTACTGGATTTAAATTGGGGGTCAAACCCCAGGAAGGTATCTAAACGTATGAAAAATAAATTAAGAAATACCTATCTACTCATTTAATTTTTTTTTTTGGGTTGATTTCCAGCAATGAACTCAGCGATGAGTTTAGAAACTTACATATATTGTCTAAACAGTGTTCCTTGTGCTCAGAACATTCTTCTAATTTTTAATTCGAAAGCGAAAGTTTCTGACACAACAATACGTGAGTTCAGATGTTGATGCCATTTCTGCTGCAAAATAGAATCAATTAATTAATCTTCTAATTATGTGTCCTTATTGGCATCTTCTCGTAAAGGAGTACCCTAAGAATAGCCTATTGGACACAGTTGATGGCTATGAATTGGCCAAGTAACGTCACCTTTTCGTGTAAGGGTTTGCTATATGGAAGTGGCGTCGTCTTGTGGATACTAAATCCATGCATTGAAACAAAAAAAACTATTCTCAAATAGTCAATATAATATGGGGTAAAGAAATTCGAACAATTTAGATTCAAGAATTAACGAACTCAATCGTTGAATCTGTGTCTAAATGAGCCAGCATTTATCGTATTAGCCTTTCATTTTAGTGGTTTGAGCATTTTTATCCATCGGAACAATGCTTAATCAAGTGCACTTTGAATTTTATAATGATTACGATAATAACGCTCATAGAATGATGGTAAGTGAGGTGCCGACCAGTGTATAGTTCCACCGTACTTAATTTCCACCGAGCTGGACTGCGTAATAACATATTTTCTAATATTTCTTAGTAAATAAAATAGCAAATGATACTTACTCCTATATACTTTTGTTTGGAGTGAAAATATAATTAATAATAAAAGGTTTGGACTATACGTATTTCACCAATTTAACAAATTGACACCATCCCATTAAGGATAAGATTTATACAATATTAAATTTAAATGATGAACAATTAATATTTTTTCCTTGGTCGATTACAATTTTCCATTAAACATAATAGACCAAAATATTTGTACACATTGCTTTGCTAGGACCAATTTTTAAACGCTACTGGAAATATAGTAAAAGTAATAATGACCCGATCATGGGAAATTCTAAATTATTAAAAAAAAATAAAATGTAAGAACAACAAAATGTCTTTAAGAAATAATAAAGTTAATATAAAAGCCAGGAAAAAAAATGGAGTAGACTATTCTACTCCTAAATGCAATATCTTTAAACAGGAAGACATTATTAAGTATACCAAAACTAATGAACTGGATCTTTGTTAATATTTGTCCAAATTTCACGATTATTTTTTTGTTTTGTAGGTAATTTAGTAATATTTCTAATTATTATGGGTACAAGTATGCAAAAAATGCATACTTTTTAAGTTATTCGCAAAGAAAGTTTATTTTCCTCCATAACTTTTTTTCCAGAAATTTTGGGGGGGATGGGACTATTTTTCGCATGTGAAGAAGAATATCTTCAAAATGAGTGGTCAATCATTGGATTTGATGAAGAATTGACGAAGTTGCGGCGTACCGACAAAAAAAAACACCTTTTAGAAGTAATATATTGGATGTTGATTTTGTAAGAAACTAATTGCTAATCAAGTATTTACTGATGAATTGAAAATGGCAGTATAGCCGAAACGTTGCCAGTATAGAAATGAACAAATAAAAATGGTGAAATACATAAAGCCCTAACTTTATATTATAAAACATATTCTTTTTGGATATCTTATGTTATAAATTCTCTTCTTTTGCCCAACTGGGGGACAGGATAGAGGAAATATTTATTTTCAAATTGGTTCCCAGATATATGAGATTTCTATAAATCCCGCATACTAAAAATATTTTTAAACATTTTATTGGCTTTATGAATGAACGTCATGATCCAACTATTCCACATGATAAAAGAAAGCGATTTGTGGAAGCCGGTGATGTTCATCGTGTGCAAACCTTAAATGTGAGTGTGTTATACGCATGTTTTACTTCTATGGCGATTCTGTTTACGATTGGCCATAGATGGCTAATGCCTTCGAGACCAAGTAAGTAATGGTTGGAAGAAAGCGGCAAGGCGAGAAAGAGCACCTCAGCACCACACTACCTGCCTAGGATAGACCCACCCCTGAGGCTAATAGATTTTTAATAGCATGAAATCCGAATCATAAGTGATCACTAAATTACTTCGGCCTCTCACAAAAGGTTCGGGCTCGTCCATCACTCACTTATCCTACACCTCTGCTTTGTCGGCCGCTGTTGAGATATTTCACGCTTCCTAAATATCAAAGCTATTTCCATTTGGTTTCTCGCTAAGGTTTTTCTTTGAGTTTTGATCTCAATAGGACAAAACACATTAAGGTTGAAAATTATATTAAAACATTTTCAACTTTTTAACTAAAATTTTTTTTAATAACTATTTCTTAAATAACAATACAATCTGCCACACCCAAGGGCAATAACTATTTGTTCTAAAAGTACACATTCAAGCAATTTATACATACTGAAGAAAAATAAGTATAAATGATTGAAAAAAAAATAATAACCATAAATTGAATATTTAATAATTGACCGTTGAATTATAAAGGAAGGAGATGGTCCGGGGTGGTGGTCATAAATAGGCTAAATAGTGGCAAAACTATTTTATTAAAAGCCAACGTTTCGACCATATTTTGCAGATCTTCTTCAGGGAGGTGTGTTCAGCTAGGAGTTACACTTAAAACTGACTACACTTGCAGCTCTAAGTGTAACTCCTAGCTGAACACACCTCCCTGAAGAAGATCTGCAAAGTCGGGTCGAAAAGTTGGCTTTTATTAAAATAGTTTTTCCACTATTTAGCCTATTTATGACCACCACCCCGGACCATCTCCTTCCTTAATAACGATAAATAATACTTTATATAAATATATATATATTTGTTCTGGTTGTAAATATATATATATATAATAAAGATAAAAGTAAAATATAGATAGATTAATTATGATAGCGAAATGTGTAGCCAATAGAAAATATAAATTACATTAACTCATCTAAAATACATCCATACCTATGTACAATATTTACATTCGCCCAAGGGACTTTGAAGCAACCTTAATCCTCCACATTTGGAAGATACAGCACGTTTCTCCTAGTCCCGTAACTAGTAATGGAAACCAGTGGAGATGTTGGAACTTGAGCGAAAAAGGTGGTCATTGACAAAACTTCAATAACATAATTACAAAACTATCTCGGAGCCACTTTCGTTTTAACCTTCGGAGAGGGTTATATGAATGGTCAGAGCTGGATGGAGACCTAAATAAAGGATTTGGATGATGAATAATACTCTGGTGAAAGCTTTAGATCCTGGATGGGATGATGTCAAGGACATATTTGATGTTTAGACCATGATGTTGAGGTCTTGTTCATGTACATAATGTGGACATTGACTATTGTTAGAAGTACTTTGGACTGGAAGGGTTAGATACGTTTGATATAAGAAATTCCTATATATTTTGTTCAAAATCCAATTGATTGTTATCATTCCTTATTGAAAATTTGCTCACTAAGTGGCAAATGGTTGTTGATAATGAGGGTGATTCCGTCAATGATCAAAAATAGAAACTCGTTGGAAATTAATGTGTATCAATTTAATGAAAGGAACGACACTACTTTCCGGTTCCCCTGATAAAATGAACCTTTTCTGCAATTCCAGAGCCGCTGCTTTAAAAAATGGCGGCTGATTTAAAGAATATTAGGTCAGTAAATTGAAGACCGAACTCGGGAGAATTCGAAGCCAGACTTAAACGCTCGATGTATTGCCCAGTACGTTTTGTTTTCGGAATCTCAAGAGATACGCATATAACCCAGTATTACACCGAGTTGAAGTGGCAAATCCTTCCAACCGCGTTATTTACTTCCTTGCTACCTTTCTATACCAGATCATCAGAACCCTCCTATATTTTTCACAGCCTATAATTTAAATACTCCATTCGATCCCGTCACATTAGATTTTGTACTTCCGACCTCTATCCTCCTCTTCGACCTGCTGCGTTTGACAACCTGTTTCCCTCAGAAATTCTATCCCTCTTGATATTAGACATGTACAATCAGTTTCCACTTTCAAACTTCTCCTCTTTAACACCTACTCCTTGCCCAATCAGGCTGTTCATGAAATGTATCAAAGAGAACTCTCCAAGTACCCCTAGAAACTATTCCGGTTTATTTATATTATTCTAGTTTCCGATGTTTGTTTTATATTTATGTATGACTTTTTTTCCTCTTTGTATTTTCATTTTTAATCAACTATTCATATTGTAAATACTTAATTTATGTATGGCCACACTGGCATTTACCCTGTACTTATAATATGTTCTAAAGGGAAAACAGTTCCAGAATAATAAAAAAAAATTCATTTCATTGTAACACCTAAATGAAGCCTCGAAGCGGAAAACGTACTCTTTAAGAAATTATAAAGAACTGTATGTCGATTAAGTAATAATTATTTGGTTTTGTGGTATGGTAAAAAACAAGGTCAACGAACATTGATTTTTATCAAATTTGTCAAAAACTGAGACAAATTACTATAAATGACCCTCCAGCTTGGAAATGGGCTCCAGTTAAGAGAAAAAATTCATAGAATCAAATACATAATCGACCTACAGTGAAAATGTTAATACTCAGAGGCCGCAGAATGTATTGCTCTACAACTTTGATTCTATGAGTTTTTCCTCTTAGAGAAGTCATTTCCAAGCTAGAGGGCAATTTATAGGAAAACCAGATTCATGGTAAAATTTATGTTGAAAATCAGCGTTAGTTAATCGTGGTTTTCTACCATACTACTTGTGTATACCAAATCATCAAATTATTATGTTTATGTATTCATTCGACGCACAATTTAACGTTCTTTAATTAAGAGTATGTTTCCCGCTTCAATGCATCGTTTAGGAGGTATAAGTGAAAAAAAAAAGACAAAATCTGGCTTTTGGACGGTAAAAAGTTTTCTCCTGAGAGCCCAAACGCGGTAATTTTTTTTATTTATATGTTTTAACACATATATACAGATTGCTTTTTGTTTTTTTAACATTTCTTTATAGAGTAATATTACATCCTGTCACACCCAAGGACACCAGTAATAGTGATAGAATGGCTCATCCAAACTCTATGTCCAATAAATAAAAATAAATTATACAGCAAAATAATAATACTGAAAGTACATGTATATAAACTAAACTAATCAAAATTACAATCAAATTCAGGCATACTAATATACAAGGTAAAAAAAAACAAAAACTGTTCCCACATTTTTCATTATCCAATTAGTGGCCTTATATTCTTTAAATCAGTCGCCATATTTGAAAGCAGCGGCTCTGAAATGGCAGACAAGGTTCATTTTACCCTGTTGGTTTATTTTTTAAATACCTTTTACTTTTTAGACCTTTCGGAAACCTGTGGCACGTAAAGATTCGTTGTTTAAGATATAAGAATTATCCTTAAGAATTATTACTCTTAGAAAGCTCATTTCACAATTGAAGTGTCATTTATAGAACATGATTTTTTTTTCATCATAAGCCATGGACTTAGATGGAGGTCTCAAAGCGGCCCGCGAGCCAAAAAGGTTAGAGCTAGTATGGTGTAAAATACATTTTTTCTTAGCACCATTTTTAATAGTTTAAAATTAATATTCATTATTCACGGCATATTATGGATGTAGATTGGACATTACTGGATATGGTAATTTTTGCGACAATGGCGGATCAATGCTCTGAACTGCATGAAATCAACTTAGAAGAACAAGTTTATACATGTGTGGAATAAAAATATTTTTAGATTTCTGTCGCGCCTAATTCATGTTACCTCGAATAGATTTGTTCACGAAAAACTTGATCTTTAGAGACACAAACTGTGCACGCTTTTACAATATCTCATTTAATGAACGGAGCTTGACTTAGACTAATACAGTAGCTTAGCTTGTACTGAGGGAATGTAAACTTAGTTTATTACCGCTGAAGACAGATAATATTGATGAGTTGTCGCAAAAATTACCATATCCAGTAATATCCAATCTACATCCATAATATGCCGTGAATAATGAATATTAATTTTAAACTAGTAAAAATGGTGCTAAGAAAAAATGTATTTTACACCATACTAGCTCTAACCTTTTTGGCTCGCGGGCCGCTTGGAGACCTCCATCTAAGTCCATGGCTTATGATGAAAAAAAAATCATGTTCTATAAATGACACTTCAATTGTGAAATGAGCTTTCTAAGAGTAATAACCTCTTGTGTGAGTAATTTGCCAAATTTCATATTTTTTTTCATATAGTTTTTAAAATTTTACCAAATAATCGAGGAAATATTCGCGTGCCAGATTGCATGTGCATCCGCAGTTTGGAGAACCCTGTTTAAAAAAAATTAAAAACAAATAGATTTGTACATTACAATCTAACAATCCATGCAGAAGGACAAAGGCAGAAAACAATAATATAAAACTATATAATTTTTCTTTTTGGTCCCTAGGGCGCTTTGGTAGAACCATTGGGCATGGATCTAAATTTTTCGACCTAGAATCATCAAAAATATTTCATTGAAGTGTGTGTTTGTGTATGATTTCACGTCTGTAACCTCCCTTTGTATGTAATTCAATATCTCATTTGGCAGCAATTTATGGTTGAAATACACTTACACCATATATGTTAATTGTTAATCATTTGCCATACCCAACTGGACTTGGTGAGTCATGCTTGAGCCCTCACGAATCAGGTACGGAAAACGACCAAGCTAACTTCCCCATGATATCCTCGTGTAACGCTGATAATTTGTTATATTTCTATTATTATTTATACTGTCTACTATTATCTTTACTTTATATATTTTACTTACTTGGAAAGAAAGGGAGACCAATAGCTTTGTGCTGCTCGTTGAGCTCTTGGACTCCAACGATAGGTTCCGTCCACTCAGCTGGTTCCTTGCACTGGCTCGTCAAGTCCCAAGGCTTTCCTGTACAGAATAACAAAACAATAAGAAAGCAGGAGTAACGAAATATACAATTCTTGTTATTCTTAATGTTTGTAGAATAGTTATCAATTTTTTGTAAAAATTATTTTATTGAAATTTACAACTGTAAACATATATAAAACCAGTAAATTTGCTATAGGAATATATTACATGAAGGTACTTGTGCAGAAGCTACCCATTGGTAACACTTCAAAGATAAATTAATTTAGGAGGTTCCTTGGTCATCTTCTTTTCAGACGCCTAGGAGGGTTGTCAGGAATTGTGTTGGATAAAAGGTTACAAACTAGAGGATTGGGGTGACCAAAGAGTTTGGAATGAAAAGAGGTATATCTAGTTCGGGCCAAGTATTGCACAAGAGGGATGTTGAGGTCTTTATGGATAATTTTATTTGTTACATAATATGGAGCATTTAGGATTTTACGGAGGATTTTGGATTGTAATGATTGGATGCGGAAAGAATTTGATATTTTTGTAGAGCCCCAAAGCTCAATACCGTATGTCCAAATGGGTCTGATGATGGTAGTGTAAATGAGTTTTTTGTAGAATATTAGAAGTTTAGAGCGTTTGTCAAGTAAGTATTGTAGTAGTCGGAATCTGTTGGCAGTTTCTTATCTTTTAAGTCTAGTATGAGGATTTCAGGTAAGGCGTTTGTCAAGTAGGAGTCCTAGATAACGGACCTGTTTGACAGGGATCAGTGGAATATTGTTAAAGGATACGGTGGGACAGGATGTTGTAGGTTTAGGGTGAAGAGTAAAAGTAGTTTGTTGGAATTTGTTTGGATTAATTTTAGTTCTCCAATTTACACACCATTTTTCAATGGCTAAAACGTGTGACTCCAGGGTTTGTGATTAAATAATTGGTTCATTATTGACAGACAACACACACGCGTCATCAGCATAGGTTGTGAGGACGGTTGAAGGATAGGTAGGGATATCAGATGTATATACTGTGTAAAGGATGAGACCTAAGATGCTCCCTTCAGGAGCACCAGCGGATTAGGAAAATAGAGATGAATAAGCAGAGTTACAATTTACTTTAAAGGTTCTTTCTGTGAGTTAAGAGCGGATTAATAGGAGATATTTAGGGGCAGGAATTGACGGAGTTTGTACTGCATGCCAGACTCGATCAAAAGCAGTTTTCAATTGGTTACTTTTTATCTATTTAGCGATTATACGGATTTATAGATTAAATAATACAATCTGAACTAAAGAATATATCCAAATTAAAGTTATACAATTTGAACAACGATTGGTGCATAAAATGAACAGTTGTACTTTTTTATTTTCAGTTGCCATTGCAGACCTTGTAGATCTTTTGCCGCCTTTAACAACCTTCATATCTCGGGCTATTTTGGAATATTCCTTTCCAGTTAGCTGGATGCAGCCCTATTGTACCTTTGATGAATCGATCTATCCTTTTTTTTTTGGCTTTCCACGCTGTCTCTTGCCAGCTATTGAGGCATTTATTATTGTGTAGTGATGAGGTTGCCTGGCGGATTGGTCCGAAATACATTCCCTGCCCATCTTAAACTCCTTTCCTTTATATCATGATCTAATGATTACCGTTTTTGTATCAATATCTATTGATTGACCAGTTTCTGTAAGCAGCTCCTTATTGGTCCTTCTCCTCTATTCGTTAGTATTCTCATCTCAGATTGCTCCGGTTATCTTACGGAGGATATTTCTCTCAAATATTTTTTCAATACTTTTATACCGTAGAAACTCTAGTGCTGGTTTGTGTCCCGTTCTCACAGCCGTAAATGTATAACATTGTAGAAATTACACACACACACACATATATATATATATATATATATATATATATATATAATATATATATATATATATATATATATATATATTTCTGTTGACATTTCAGATTTATAAATTTTTTGAAGCATTAACAAGCTTGCTCCATCCCTGCCTATCTTAGGATCTCTGCCTATCCTAATGTCTGCGTAATAGAAATTAGAAATAAAAATCCATATGGAACCTTCAGACGAAATAAGTATATAGAAAGCTTCGCTGACTGAAAAGTGTGCGTACTTCCTGTGTTATCTTTTCTAATTAAAACACTGGTTGATAGTTCGTAGACACTTTTTAATTTGAAATTATTCAAGTTTTCCATTAGGCTATTTCTTCGTCTAAAAGGTCTTTCTATATAATCAAGGTATTCAAGTACCCGATTCAACAGTTGGCCGAAAAAATGCCCTTGTGTGCATCTTAAAATAGTAATAAGACAACAAAAAAAAAGTGTGGAATTGAATGAACTGTAAAAGCTTATTGGAAAGAAAATTGTTAATGAATTTTAGAGCGATTAATTTTGTTGTTGTGAAGAGGGAATATTAACAAGGGGCCTAGCTGGGATAGTAAATTATTACTCAATGAACAGACTTCATCTCTCTTCGCCCCTCGGTCACTTCATATTCAATGCCTCGTTTGATAAAAGTTATCTTATTCAAAACCTTATTTAGAGACGTTTATCCGCTTCTAATCTATACTTTGATTCCATACAAATCCGTGCCTTTCTGTGTGGCATTTAACAGAAAATAACAAAGCGTTTGACTAAACATGAATCGCACGTGTACATGTCCTTCATATAACTATCAAAGTGATGAAAAGTTTTTTTTTTTTGTTTAGTAGGAGGGTCCTAAATCAATAACCATTTTGTGATTCGAAAAAAATAACCGTTACTAACTACATAACTATAGTATAACTGCTATTTATAAGTATATTTTTTTCCTTCAAAAAATTCTAACATAGTTTTATGTTTTAACATTAAAAATTGGTTAATTCGGTTCTAATCCTTGAAATATATTAATGAATTTATTGCCGCAATGTGAAACTAATACTTGGTAGAACAATCAAGTGTGTTCATAAATAAAGATGAATTATTTTATTTGACGGGCATTAAAACATAATATTTTATTAATAAATGTTTTTGAATGTTAATATGTTTGAAGTGCTTATAATTACTACTTTTTTTTTTTTGATAAACAATATAAACATTTTTTTCACTATTTCTAAAATTTATAACTTATTTTGTGTATATAATAATGGATAATTTTTTTAATGTACTTTTAACCTTGTGTTTTATTTACATAAAAATTATTTCGTTTCGTTTTAATTTTTGTTTGATTACAAATGTATTGTATTGTAGTTAAAAATAAACATTGTTGAAAAGTGCTTCATTTTTTATTATTAAAAAGAAAACTGCTACAAAATGTATTATTTTTTTTTAAATACAAATAATAATTTTGAACATTTTTCGGTTTTAAATTAAAGTTTAATTGGAACAAACTTTTGAAGAAAAAAGTTGAGATATTTCACTCTTCCTAAATATCAAAGCTATTTCCATTTGGTTTCTCGCTTAGGTTTTTCTTTGAGTTTTGATCTCAATAGGACAAAACGCATTAAGGTTGAAAATTATATCAAAACATTTTCAACTTTTTAACTATCATTTTTTTTAAATAACTATTTCTTAAATAACAATATAACCTGCCACACCCAAGGGCAATAACTATTTGTTCTAAAAGTACACATTCAAGCAATTTATACATAATGAAGAAAAATAAGTATAAATGATTGAAAAAAAAATAATAATCATAAATTGAATATTTAATAGTTGACCGTTGCATAATAAAGGAAGGAGATGGTCCGGGGTGGCGGTCATAAATAGACTAAATAGTGGAAAAACTATTTTATTAAAAGCCAACGTTTCAACCCGACTTTGCAGGTCTTCTTCAGGGGGGTGCGTTAAGCTAGGAGTTTCACCTAGAGCTCGTTTTTAACTTTAGTTCTAAGTGAAACTCGTATACTATCATACAAGAGATCCTCGTATGTATGTGTATATATATATATATATATATATATATATATATATATATATATATATATATATATATAAAACCACAATTATTATTGGATAAAGAAATAATAAGCCTTTACCTTACTTACATAAATTAACTATTCAGAGTTGCATTATTACTATGCTTAAAGTCTATTTATACCTTTAAAACTAAGTTTTAAACCTGGACCTCAATAAAACGATAATATTTTCTACCACCAAAAATGGGCAATTTCTTTATCTTTGTTTTTTGTCTAAAGGTAACTGCACTTAACACACTCACTCTGCACTATATAAATCTTGATAATATACAGTCGACCATGGTGATACTATAATAAAAAAGTATTGTCGCCCAGCAGAATCTATTCCTTATTAATATCATGCGTGACTGCACTGATAGGACAATTTTGAAATCTATTATTTTTTTACAGTACCTTTTATTTTGAAAAAAATCTGTATTTAAAATTAATCTTTGAGGTTTTCACATAACTTTATTACCTATTTTTTATCCATAGCTTTTTCATGAATGGTTCACATACGATAAATTTAAACGTTTGATGAATCATTCGCATTGAGTCATCCATCATCTATATATCATTTAAATTATGCTACAGCCATCCAGAGTTCCTAGAATGAAAAACAAGCATAAAAAGACCAAAGGAAATGACAAAGACAAGAAAATGAAGCCACCTTCGAATCATGTCAATAAAGCATCCAAGTCTGCAGCAAAGGCCAATAAAAGGTATGTACTCTAATTCATACTTACAATTAGACTTTGTATAATTATTATTAATACAAATATTTATTGACATTTACCATTCTATAAAAAATATAATTAGTAAATCAATTATAAGAATATAAAATATGATATGATATGGTATGAAGCAGCTACCTATCGCACAGTTGTTAGTGTTGCCCAAAATCTGGTCTTGGTCTTGCACATTGCCTTGCGCCTAACTGTTGCAAGACCAAGACCAGGACTAGTAAAAAAAAAATCGATTTTTTTTATAAAAATTAAGGCAAAATAGTTACTAATACTTGACGATCTTAGTTACTACATGTTAATAATTGGTATAACCAATATACTTTTCCATTTAACTCCTCTGATTTTTCATTAAGACTTAATTAAGTTTCTCCTATCTAAACAATTACAGTAATATTTCTATAGTAATAAGTAACTTCAAGACTATTGCGGGACCATTGCGCAAGACCAAGACCATGCCCAAGACTGAGTTTGTACGACCAAGACTCGTCTCGGTCTCGCATTTGGGCAACCCTAACAGTGCCCCCCCCCCCCAGTCTATCTAGCGGGACAAAAGTCATAATATCGATAGTGAATTTTTTTAATGGTAAATGGCATTAAAGTTTGTACATCGGCGTAATTAGAAACAGAAGAATTAATTTAAAAAACTACAAATAATGTAGATAAAATTGACGGCAAACTTCGAAAATTGAGAGCCAGTTTTAATAATAACGGGTAATAGCTTCATTGTCAGAGTGATAAATAAATAAATGATTGTTTGTACCTTTCCGTTAAGATTTTCCTCCCCCCTCAAAAATTTAAGCGTATTAAATAATAAGATATTTTAAATATCGAAATAACCTTTCTTTAAATGTTAGAACTGATTTTATAAAAAGTTTCGGTTAAGTTATAAGTAATATATTCCCAATAGCGTAGAAATTCGAAATGAAGATCGGGTATGGAAATTTTAAAACGCTGTATCTTTACCGGAACATCTAGGAACATCATGATATATATATATATATATATATATATATATATATATATATATATATATATATATATCATAATATTTTATTTTGCCATATATTTATATGTTCAGTTACTAAAAATCATGGACTTTTCTTATATACTAAGCTCAATTCCATAAGATTCATAATAGAAATCAGCTACATAATATTTTTCAGTTTAATTAGATATGTGTCTAAAATTTATTATGAAATTTTTTTTGAGGAATTTTCCTAATTTGTTTTTTTGGTTTCCGGAGTCATCCTAGTAGGGAAATGGTAAAAACAAATGATGTAATATATTGGTTGTAAAATTAATTTTTTAAGTTAATTAATAAAGGTACAGAGGTATTAGAAAAATTCTGGCTGAAGCCCTCCTCCCAAAATTAAATCCTGGATCCGCTAGTGTCTCCCGCGGTACTATTTGCACCTTAAAACGTCTAAATTACTCCCGTCACCTATTTCCACTTGAAACCTGTAGGCTCCTAGTAATTTCCTTAATTTTTCCCCACTTTGACTATTCCTGTACGGTATATGGTGACGTCTCTGGGGATCTCGAGGCGAAATTAAAACGTTTGATAAATTTCTTTGTATTCATCTTCAAGATCTCAAGAGACGCCTCTGTTCTGTCCCAGAATAAATAAAGAATTATTATTATTATTATCTTTATTGATTAATTAGATTTCCAATGGCACCTCTAAGTGTGCTAAAACTATCAGAAAAATTTAATTGCTTTCCACTAAATATTAAATAATGTTATTTGTATTAGATTCAGCTTCTATTTTGAAATATTAATTGATATAACAACAAAAAAATTTTTTTTAGATCTCTCCGTTCAACCGCTTTGCGTAAGAAAGCTGATCCTATTCGCAAACGAAAATCTGAAGCACGGAAATCAAAGAAAGGTTCAAAAGTAA